ACGACGCTCTTCCGATCTCCCCAAAACCCCAAAACCCCATTTGCTAAAAATAATTATTAATAGTGGTATGATGAAATTTATGATCGTTAAAATTTATTTATTTGCTTTATTTTAATAAAAATAAGAGATTATGGAACAGCGGTATTTCTTTCGCTTCCAAATGATTACAATAAATTCAAATTTCATTAATTACATTCTGGTTATGAGGCGGTAGTTATCTGAATTGAGAACCTTTTATGCGCTCCTCTCTAGTCTTAAATTTTATATTTGAAAATCTAAATATCATCCTCCTGCTAAATAGTTTTCCTTCTGATTTAGCAATGCTTCTTGAGGATGTAAGGCCGGTGAAACTGAGATTGCAATTATTATTATCTTTTAGCATTTAGAGATTAGTTATTGTCTAATTCCAATTTGATTGAGTTATTTAACCTTAGCTGTCGAGGACTAGTAGATCTCTCCATTTTTAAAGTTACCCCTGTTTGAGTTACTCTTGCCTTTTATCTACTTATGGTACTTTTATTGTATGTCTACTCAAGGAAGGCTTGGCTTGGCATTTCTATCGTTGGAAGAATTGATCTCCTTCTCAGACTGCTACTAAACTTCTAATCTCTCACTCTTGATTGAAATGTTTCTTATATACACCCTAGCTTCTTTCTAATATAAGACTCTAGTGGAGGTGTTTAGTTGATTAATTTTTATCTGAGTCTAGAGTTAATTCTTCTTTACTCGTTTGATGGGGAATCATGGGGAGAAACCTAAAGACTCCTAATTTTTTTAGTTTAGAATACTGTTCTTCCAATGCTTTTGAATATCTATTCTTGATTCTTGGATGACATCGGTTGAGATTAATCTTGTTTTGAATCGAACAATATCCTTCTATCGAAGAATTTCTTATGCTCACTATCGTTGGTCACTCCATACTAAGAATATGTGGGTGAGAGATATTCGACTTCCATAATAGACCTAGAGTCTTAAAGATCAATATTTGTCGACTACTCGTTGGAGATTAAAAACGAATCTCTTTTTTCAACTTAATCCTTCTCAATCGGATTACTTATCAGAATTATTCTTACTTAGGAATCTAGAGCCTACTATTATAGATTATTATTATCAAATGGAGTGAGTTACGCCAATTATGACTGTTTATTTTTGAAAATGTTTAATAAATTATTTATTTTGCTACTCTTTCTAGTATTTTCACACAAAGTTTAATTTTCACAATTATTTATTGTATTGGATTATTGAGATTAAATCGATACTTGTTATATGTCCTCATTATTTTCCTCTTCTTTATGTCTATTAACACTCAGGGATTCTTGAGTTTATTTCTATTCTTCTATTTCAAATTACCTAGTTTATTACTTCTCAGTATGCTCTCCACTTTATATCGATTTTATCTCGTGCCTCATTACTACATATTTTTAAATTTACTTCGAATTAAATATTGGTTTAATGTTCATCCATTTCATTAAATACTTTCTTGATTCATTTTTTTCATCAAATTTAAGCCAGAAATCTTCCTAATCCTCTTTTATGATTAATTCTGAACAGCAGGCATCTCTATTGATTATTGATTATTAAGCCTCCCTCTATTCAGAATTATTCAGTTTAGTACATTCGACTTTTCAACGCATTTTCTATTTCTCTGTTCTTGACATTTGATTTAATTGTTCTAATTTATCAAAAGGATGAAAAATATCAGAAACCTAGTCTAGACCTGTATGCGCTTAATACTGATGTATTTATCTCATTTTTTAATTATTTTGCGTCTCTTATCGTATCATAGTTGAAATTTTTCATTTCAAAAATGCAGTTATGTAAGGCAATTTTCTCACAAAAATCTCATTAAATTAAGAATTATTTTCTTCTTATTTACTTTGATTTGCTTAATCAAAATGATTTAAGTGCGTTTAGAGTTTATTTTAAGATGAATCGTGATCCATAGGTAAAGTCTCGTGTTGATTTGATCTGACTCTTTTCTGAAATATATTTAATTGCAATAAATTATATTACTTCTCTATATCTCATTTAATTCATTTTATCATTAATCACATTTCAATGATCAACCACATATACTATTCACGGGGTTTTGGGGTTTTGGGGAGATCGGAAGAGCGTCG